TCTCTCTCTCTCTCTCACACACACACACACACATACACACACACAAACACACATACACACACATACACACACTCACACCCGCACACCTCCCATAAAACAAGTGAAGACCTATCCCGAAAAAGAACACCAAATAGTTCAAAGAAGTCTCAAAACAATATAAAACAAAAACGAAGCAAACAGCAAGAGAAACTGAAGAACCTTTGAAAACGACAAAGATATTTTCTGTCTGTCTGAAAGGGGAAGTTTCTGTGCTCGAAACGTAATTTTTTTTTAAAAGGCAATGATAATTTTGACTGGTGGCAGAGACACATGAGCTTTTTGTATTGAAAAGCAGGACAACTGTTTTTCTGCTCATGAGATATGTATCAAGAAACAAGTAGAAGAAAATTATTCCTGAAATCTGATATTGTCTAGTGTAGGAAAGAAAACTAATCGCCTGCCTATGGCTATGGCTTTTCCATTGTTTGTTGTCCGTCTAAGCGTACCGTAATATTTAAAATAAAATTTGACAGCACAAAAGGCTGGGTCACTTTGGGAAATCACAAAAAAGATAGCATTTAAAGCCTCAACACAAGATATATGGAGAGTGTTTTATTTGTACTCTCTGTCAACTCCGCTGTCTTTTCACTGACGCAATGAGCAGAAGATATTTTAATCTCTCTTGCTCCAAGAAGAAAAGCCCGGCCGAGATTTCTCAGAGCTAGAATGACGTTCATACGATCTCCCCACTTTCTTTGTGAGAGCCACCAGTTTAATGCGAAGAAATAAAAATAAACGTCTTTTGTACCCCACGAGTATATACCTCAAGAGGGACAGCTATTTTCAGTCTTTTCAAAGCCTTCATATTTGTGTTTTCTTGATCTGTTCTTTCATTTTCGTCACTCCCCAGCTCGATGTTAAGAAAACTTTTTTTTTTTAACTGACAAAAGGTAAAGCAGCAACAATCTTTTGCTTTGGGCAATTTCCTTTATTATACGTTAGAACTTTAGAAAACAGCACAGCCCAGAGACAGCAAAACAAACCTTGAAATGACAGGCTTTAGGCGTCAAATTAGTCTGGACGTGGATGTCCAAGAACGCTTTCGGTTCCGTCCTTATGTAATTTTCTTGTTTGTTTGGTTGTTGTTGTTTTTTATTTAGGTCTTTACATGAGCGCGCACGCACACACACATACCCACCCACCCACACACACACTAGTCGACCAATAACTATTGCTATCGATCGTCTGCATTCTTATTCTCTATTCTCCTCACGTTTGATATAGAGTTATATCACGTCCGTTCTGATAACGATCGTTTGAAAACGTTCCCCGGGCTATTGCCATTGTAGTTAACATACAGCTCAATATTGAGGTTGTGAAATTCGTCAAGTAGACCTCCCCCCAACCACCTGTCTTTTGAATCCGCCTCTAATTATTTTTCTATTAGAAATTCTTTTTATCATTTTTGTGTTGCTGATTCACTCTTCGACTTTAAATGTATATGTCTAATAAAAATAAATTTATGAAAAATCCCCAACTGCTAGTTTAATCTTTGCTATGTCGATTTTATATTCCACTTATGTAAACGTATTACACCCAGCTGGACTGGGCTAAATAATTTGAAAGCCGGAGAACCTGGTCTTTCGATGTAGATGAGAGGAGCGAGGTTGGTCCGACGTTGGGGTCTTGGCTTTACATGAAATGTTTCCGTTTTGTTCTTTCCTACGGGAGATGGTTATTAAATTTGTTATTAAATTTGGAGACCCCGCTTTTTAAAAATAACTTATAGTGTTGCAAGGTGTGTTAGGCCGATTTCGTTCATTTTTGCTGAAGAAAAAAAGAGGGAAGGGGGGGGGGGTCGTCAAACAGACATGAATGGACACTGTGTGTGGTTCGTACAGCGTTCTGGGCCCTTCGGGAGAGAATGTGACTGACTTTGTCTAAGATCACAGATTTCTCTGTGGTTCTTCGTCCTTAAAATTCCAAAACCGTGGTCAGAACAGTTGTGAGTGCTCCACGGCATTGGGGGGGGGGTGTTTGTCGTTCCAGAAAATCTGTTTAGCTAATCTATCTGCAGGAAACCGCTTGCAGATCCTGTCGTTTACTCATGTGCTCACGTCGGTAAAAGCAATAAGGTCAGATAACAGTTTCAGTCAATGTTATCCCTCCCGCTGCCTTCACACTTGACAGTTATTTAAACTCCCGTTTGGTTAGTAGACTGTTGCAGAGCTCTTTCACAAATGGGCATTATTTAATCTTGGGTTGACGAAGAAGTAGAAGAAGCAGAAGAAGAAGAAGAAGAAGCAGAAGAAGAAGAAGAAGAAGAAGAAGAAGAAGA